GCATTCTCATGTATTTTCTTAAGTAGGCTCCCCAGACATGGTTCCTCGGGCATAGTTTCTCAAAGTGACACAAAGTGGCATAGCCAATTTTAAAGTTGTGACTTGAAATTAGATGGTATGATGATAAGATCAATTATGATGGACTTTATGATTTTGTTGAACTATCTCAATTATACCATATAAGGTTTAAAATGGTCTCGAATGTTGAAGACCTGTAAAAGTTTTTCTATATTATAAAAAACTACTTTCATGAACCTTATAAAGTATACGTCACAATCAAATGTACACATACTTTGTGATATCCACAACTTACTCATGACTATAGGAATCGCTTAGGAATATCAAACGACCCCAGGACCAGAACTCTGGCAACTGTTGAGTATTTCTTTCAAGAAAGGAACATTAGAGTAGAAACATCGAGAAGCGTTCATTCACTCAACATATAAACTGAAGTGATAATAACCCATTAAACAAATGGAACTTCACATTAAATGAAACACCAGTCTTATGAATTTATTGTATGTATGGTACAACAATGGTCTTGAGATTGAAGTGGCAATATGCAGAAATATACATATCACATGTATAAAGTACACATGTATAAATATATAAATGTATAAACTGACATTTTAGAAACTGTTTCAGATAGTGTTACAAATAAGACGAGATTCTTTCTGAATTAGTGATTGAATCCAAACTATAAGGTCGTTAGTAGTAATTCACTACGATGTAATGCGGCCATAGGTCAACCATGGAATCAAGGTCTCATTGAAGTATTCAAACACAAAATAGAGACAACATTATACGTTCAGAAACATGTATCAGTCAAACTCTTTAAGATAAAAGGGTCCATACATAACTGAATAACCTACAAGCTTAAGTTCACTCAATTTGCATCTATTAGGTGCACAAACAGATTGACTTCGGTGCAAGTGTGAGATTGTTGGAAGTATGCCTTGAAATTCAATCTTGAGATGAAATCTTTCATAATAATACAAAATGTTAGTCAAATTCAATCTAACCATATGATGAAAATCACTAGTTAAGACTGTTGACCCCACCATGAAGAGGAGGTGTTGATTGCCAATACCTAAACTCTAATTTGCAAACATGATAAAACCCAAGCCAATACCTAGCTACAACCTTGACTGTGTGGTAATGGTGGGTACTGAGGAGAGGAATTGCACAGCAAGAAGAAGGAAATTCTAATTGTTTTTCATATAAGCTTTTTAAATCCATTAGCTGAGGCTTTTAAACCATAAACCAGCCATTACATTCGCGTGAGTGCCATCTGGCATAACATACAACTCAATTAAAACTAAGACCCACAATTAACAAGACTACTACTATCTAATCCTTACTCCATTACAATCTGACCCCATTATTTAACTACTACTTCCTTGTGATCCAAGGATTCACTAATAGGCCAAATGCAAGATCATAACATTTACTCCCTCATTCGAGAAAACCTTGTCCACAAGGTTAAAGAGAGAAAGCAGGGAATCGAGCTTGGAAGTCTTCATAACATTTACTGCCGGAGTTCAATTGCAGCAGGTATGGAATGATAGGCTTCAACAAGCTTGGTGCGCCAAGGAGAAGAAGGGCTTAACATTATCCTTGCCTTGTACGTAAAAACCCATTCTGGAAAGAGTAATTAGAAGATGTAGGGGTGGTGGCATTAGTCTCCTGTGCTTGGAAATACTCTTTAGCTTTACTCTGAATCCAAGAATCCTATTCATTATATTGTCGAAGTTCATCAAACCAACCAAAATGAGGATATGATATTGCTGCACATTCATGAAGTAGAGGAGAACCGTGTACGCGAGATAGAGCATCATCTACATGGTTGTCACTGCCACTACGAAACTGGATCTCATAATCATAGCCAATAAGCTTAGAAACCCATTTTTGTTGGAAATGAGTATTAGCTTTCTGACTCAAGAAGTATTTGAGGCAGCAATGATCAGTTTTAATGGTGAAGTGTCTGCCTTGTAAGTAAGAGTGCCATTTCTTCACAGCATAAACTATGGCAATAAGCACTCGTTCATAGGTTGAGAGAGATCGATTTTTTGGACCAAGTGCTTGACTGGTAAAGGCAATAGGTCTTCCCCCTTGTTGCAACACAGCTCCAATGCCATTACCTGAGGCATCACACTCCAGTTCAAAGGGTTTGGAGAAGTCAGGTAACGCTAAAACTGGTGGGGATGTCATAATTTTTTTAATCTGATTGAAAGTTGATGTAGCTTCTTGAGTCCAATGGAAATTGTCCTTTTTGGTCAATTGATACAAGGGCTGGCAAATCTAACCATATCCAGCGATGAACTTACAATAATATCCCATGAGACCCAAGAAACCCCTCAATTCTTTAAGAGTCTTAGGAAGCGGCCAATCGCGAATGGCTTGTAATTTGGAAGGATCTGCAGTTACCCCTTCCCGAGACACGATATGGCCTAAGTACTCTACACACTGTTGACCAAAAGAACACTTGGATTTCTTAAGGAACAAGCTATGTTGCTGTAAGATTTGGAAAATAGCTAACAAGTAAGACATGTGATCCTCCCAAGAGGGACTGTATATGAGGATATCATAAAAAAAAATACGAGCACACACTTCTGTAAGAAAGGTCGGAAAATGTCATTCATGAGTTGTTAAAATGTTGCTGGGGCATTAGTAAGCCCAAAAGGCATTACTAAGAACTCGTAATGGCCTGCATGAGTTTTGAATGCTGTTTTTTCAACATCTTCAGGTTGCATCAATATTTGGTGATAACCGGAGTGAAAATCTAACTTGGAAAAATAGGTGGCACCACAAAGTTCATCCAAGAGATCATCAATTCGAGGAATTGGATATTTGTTTTTGATTATGAGAGCATTAAGTTCCCTATAATCAATACACATACGCCAGGTGCCCTCTTTCTTCCAGACAAGAAGTACGAGGAAGGAAAACAGACTATGACTGTGTCGGATAAAACCGGCATCTAATAAGTCATTGACAGCTCGTTCAATCTCATTCTTCTCAAGAGGCCCATAGTGATAGAGCCGTATATTAGGGGGTTTGGCACGGGCTAGCAATGGAATGTGGTGATCATGTGAGCGGGAGGGTGGAAGTTGAGATGGCAACACAAAGAGGGACTCAAAGTCGGCCAATAACGCGTGCAATTGTGTAGAGTGAGCTGGGGACAACTCAAAGTCACTAACAAGCACCGGTTGTGTCTCCATAGAATACAACAAAATGCCCGAGTTGGAATTAGCAACTTCCTTCTCAAGATGCTGTAAGGAGACTTCTTGTATAATAGAAGGTGGAGCTGCAGAAGGAAACAATTTGTAGTGCTGATTGTTCTTCGTGAATTCCAGAGTCAAGTGATGGAAATCCCATAATACAAGGCTAATGGAAGAGAGCCACTGAACCCCCAGGACTAAGTCACAACCCCTGAGAGGTAATGAATACAAATCAACACTGCAAGCATAACCCCTTAAGGACAGTGCATCGGACCTCCAACAACCTAAACTTTTGACTTTACCACCATCGGCAATCATGACCTCAAAGGACTTAGTAGGATGAACTGGTTGGCCCCATTGTTTTAACAATCGAGTGTCGACAAAGTTGTGTGTGCTGCCAGAGTCTAACAAAATCCTCATAGAATGATCGTGGAGAATGCCCTACACTTTCATAGTTTGAGCTTTCGGGGTGGCGGTTGTCCCATAGAACGCACACTCACTGAGTTCCATGTGATGAACTTCAGGAAGTGAGTCTGGGGTGAACTCATTAAGCTCCGCTTGGTCAGCAACATCAAGCATAAGCAATTGCTTCAATCCACATTTATGATATGGAACCCATTTGTCAGTGGAAAACCAACATTCACCCTTGTCCCGTTTTAATTGAATGTCAGCTGGAGAAAGCTTTTTAACAGGGTAATTGCTGTGGTAGTGTTTGGTTGGTGTTTAAGGACTGTGGGGGATGATTTAGTGATACCGCCTTTAAGCTCCTGAAACTTAGTTTCTAATTAACTGCTATGGCAATAGCATCATGAACAGAATGAGGCTTCAACAATTTCACAACATACTTTAATTCCCGTTTCAGGCCACCAAGAAAACAACTCTTTAACAAGAGAGGACCAACATCACAAGTACGATTAGCAAGTTTCCGAAATTTAGCAATATAATCACGCAGGGTACCTGTTTGGCAAAGTTTGAAGAGTGCCTCAGTACTATCTTCAAACTCGGAAGGACCAAACTCCTTACACAGTGCCTGAGTGAAATCCTCCCAACAAGGAGTAGTAGTGGAACAATCCATCCATCTATACCATTGAAGTATCTCCCTCTCGAGATGGAATGAAGCTGTGACCACGCGCTGAGAATCGGGAATGCCATAATAAACAAAAAATTGTTCAGCCTTATAGATCCAGGCTAACAAATCGACACCATCTCCAAAGCGAGGAAAGTCGATGCGCGGAGACCACGATGGCTTAACAGTAGCACGGCCAGGGGTGACTGGACTGTGCGGTGCTTGGATGCGGTCCATGTCTCGAGGTGGAGGAAGATCCGTGAAGGGAGGAGAAGAAGAAACCTCGCCGCCACCGCGAGCAGCTTGCTCACGATGAAATTGCTCGAAATATATAGGCAATCGCATTTCAAAAGCATGATCAATGGCGTCAGCTAACTGAGTGGGAAGGTTAGATAAGGTGTTTTCAATAGCAGCAACACGAGATTCCATGGCAGAGATGCGGGTTGTGGTGGTGGGACGGGGCATATACAGAAGGGATACCATAATCGGAAGGTGATGCCAATGATAAAACCCAAGCCAATACCTAGCTACAACCTTGACTGTGTGGTAATGGTGGGTACTAAGGAGAGGAATTGCACAGCAAGAAGAAGGAAATTCTAATTGTTTTTCATATATGCTTTTTAAATCCACTAGTTGAGGCTTTTAAACCACACACCAGCCATTACATTCGCGTGAGTGCCATCTGGCATAACAGATAACTCAATTAAAACTAAAACCCACAATTAACAAGACTACTACAATCTAATCCTTACTCCATTACAATATGACCCCATTATTTAACTACTACTTCCTAGTGATCCAAGGATCCACTAATAGGCCAAATGCAAGATCATAAGAAAACAGTTATTCCTTAATTTAAAATTTTTAATTTTGTGCGGGCGCGAGGGCGATGCGTAGTTCTACAAGGTCATTGATGTACACACAACTAAAGAAATTTCAGCAAGAAACTCCTCCCCTGTTCTCTCACTCACCTCTCAGCTCTGTCTCTCTCACTCCTGAGGAACATGCTGTTGGATTCTGTTTGCTGTCTGAAATTTTTAATTTTTTTATTCGAGTTTGCTGGATTATCTTCGATTCAAATGGGGCGGGTTTTTCAGTTTGTATTTTTTTTATTAATTTGGATTTCTGGTTCTTTTTTTTTTTTTTTGTCTGATTCTGGGTTTTCATTTTTTGTTGGTACAGTTTCTGCGCAATGAAAGATTTCTGCATTCTTTTGATTTCTGGACCTGCATCAAGCTTCTGCCTTTCTATTGTGATGAAATACTGATGGAAATTAGTCTCTTGCCAAGGCTCACAAGGCAATGAAGTGCCCCTGCAAAGCCGACTTAGCAAGTGGACTTCAGTTTTCAGAGGCTTTTCTCTGTTATCTCTATGGAATGGTTTTCAATTCTGCAAAACTACAACTGGATGCACACAGTATGATCCCTACTCCCTTTTCATTTTTTTATTTTTTTTTATACAAACTATTTCACCAAATTGTTATTTAAAAAAAAAAGAAAAAAAAAAGAGCAAAAGAAAACGATGTGCTGTATCATCGTCATCATAAACTTCAATCATCTATCCAGCATTAGTTATGGAGACCTGGTCAGAAAAATACCAAACCAACTCCCAGGTGCCATTTATGTATTATTTTCATGCTATTAATCTTCTGGCAGTTGGTAGTATATTCAAATCAAATTCAACCCAAAAACAAAAGCCATCACTTCTTTTTAAATTTCAAAGCTATCACTGTCTCCATTTATCTATGCTTCTGTGAGTTTCTGGCAATTGGGTTTTCTTTATTTCGTCTCCAAGCTGTCTGCCGTATGAGTTTTCACTTTAGATTCTCAAATGTTTTGTTTTGAAGTGGTTGGAGTTTATTGGTTTTAGTGTTAAATTGCTTGAGGACTTGAGGATTCAGTGCAGTTGTTAGGCACACTATTTCAGTATATTGGGTTGCTTTCTAATTCAATTTGCAATCTTTTTTGTGCTTTGTGCTTGATATCAGAGGGATTATTCCAGTTCTGCATAAAATTCTACCATTGTGTTGTAAAGGGTAAGTTGGAATTGTAGTGTTTTTTGCGGTCTTGGGATGTATCAATCATGTATCTTTGTTTAACTCAGTTGGTGTTAGTTGTGATAGCTTGACTAGGCTTATACAATATTACTTATCTACTCTATTAGATAGTGCTTTGCATTCATTTCCTTACAATTGATAGCATGTTCTTTGATTTACAATTGATTGCGTGTTCTTTCATTTCCCAGATGCCACATCTTGCAACGACTTCTGCTGCAGTTAATGCACTTGTAACTGTTCGCTCCCTAAATCCGCCATGGTGCCTTGCGGGCAAGCCGGGGATTTACTTCACATACGAGATTGGCGGGTGCGGGCGTGCCACTATTAGATGCCGCTAGTAGACGGGATTTGAATGATTGAGGTTGCGCCTTTTGACTTCAAATCAAGAGATTGTGCCATTTGAGTGGGAGTTGCTCAAATTAAGGTTCTTTGTTTGCTTAAAAATAAGGACTTTACTTATATGGAGAAATATAACAATATGTAAATGACAAGGTTGCTTGGAAATATAAATGACAGAGGAAAGTGACTAAAATTGCAGATTGCTTGTAATTTATATGGCTGGAAATGAGTACATAAAAGCTACAAATCAGATCGATACTACAAGTGAGTAGCAGAGCTAATAAACAAGAAAAGCAAAGGATGCTTGGCTAAAAATAAATGTCTACAAGGAAGCTGATGAGCTAATTTGAGTAGAGTTTTGATTGGTTGTTTTGAGTGTCTGATTGAGTGTATCTGCTCCTTTTTATAGAGGTCTGGAGGAAACCCTCATGCTGAGGTTTTGTACTTGCCCGAAAGAAGCTTGGGCAGCTTGCATTTCCTTACTTGGATAGCTTGCATTTCACTTGCCAACTTGCATGGAAAGTAATATTAAAAGGGGAACTTGCATTTCCACCACATGCTTTCATCACATGTTTTCCCACTTGTAATAAACTAACATTAAAAAGAAGCAAGTTGGCTTCTTTCACATGTTCCTTGCCCGAAAGCTTGCTGATGCCTTTCCATCTACTTGCAATACATGCATGTTCCTTGATTAAACAAAGGCTAGACAAACCTCCACAACCCAAACAAATAGGAGAAACAATATTATAGTGTAAAACCTATCCTACTTGCATCTAAATATCTTTCCAAGTTAGCTTTCTTGCATATTAATCCTCCAAATGCCATATTTTACCCAAATTGCCCAAATAAGTAAAAATGGGTATATTTTGAGTGCAAACAGTGCCCCCCAAGTTTTACAAATTTGAGCAAAGTTTGTGAAACTTACAACTCCTACGCTGCCAGGATTGATGCCGAAGGAAGAGGCACGTCTACCTCTTCGGTCCTTCTGTCGTTGATAACCTTTGGCAGGAGGAGCAAGGCAATTGGTAGTGCAACTAACATTGGAAAGAATGTTTCTGTCTGGCTTGTATTCCTTCTTGTTGATACCAAAAAACATGGGAGCACCTTTATCCATTACAGAGATGATAAACCAAAAAAATGCCCGAAGTCGGGCAAACTAGAAAAGAGGGATAAGAGATAAGTAAACTTGGGCAACTATTATTTTTTGTCTTTTTCTTTTTGCCTCTTTTCATATGTAATATAATATAATTATAAATATAATATATATATATATATATATATATCTAGCCCTCTCGGGCAAAAGCACTCAGATTCTTTTTTTCTTCAAATATTATATTATATATATATATATATATTTATATATAATATACAAAGCCCAACCGGCAAAGTAAAGAAAACAAGGAGACATGACAGAGACAAGGAGAAAGAGAAAGGAATGGAAAAAAAGAAAAAGAAACGGAAAGAGTGAGAGAGAGAGAGAAAGAAACAGTTAAAAAAAGAGTAAAGAAAGACCATTTGTCGGCAGAATGGGACAGGAAAGAAAGAGAAAGAAATAAAAAGAGAAAGAAGTGCCCTTTCGGGCAAGAAGGGGACCAAAGAGACAAGAGAAAAAGAAAAAGGAGAGAGAGAAAGAGAGAGATGCACCTTAAAATCACCAAACTCACACCAGACTCTATTTCTCTCTAGTGATTTTGTTGTTGTGTTTCAGTTTTTGGGTTCTTCTTTGAGAATGTATGCAGAGACTGGGCTTTTGTTCCCCTATTTACAGAATTCTCCTCAGGATTTCCAGCAGCTGGATGAGTTCTGCAGAACCCAAAAGTCAACTGCTTCAATAATTGCTTCTCCGAGGCTTCGATGGCACTGCGTTATGTGGAGGTGACGACCGTTGCTGTTCCATTATTGATTTGTGGAAACCTCAACCACCAGTAGAACCTCAATCTGTTGGCAGAGCCTTGCACCGGGGACAGGAGTTGCCATATTTTTTTTAAAAGCGGAGGACTCTGTTGGTGATCATCTGGGGAGCATGTTGCACTCACTGGGCTTGCGGCTCAAAGAACGGCATGGCTGCTGTGGTCTCAGTTTTTGTAGAGGAAAAGAATCTTTTCACCAAAGCAAAGAAAATGGTGAAACTTCCACCATCGTAGCCATCAAGGATAAACCTCCTCTTTCCACATTCCTAACAGAGCCCAAGCGAGGATGCTCCAATGGCGGAGAAGTCTTTGTGAAGATACGAACTCGGAAGAGCGAACTAAGAGCAGTTGTAGTCGCCATCGCTGAGTTGATTCTTTGGGACGGAGGAAGCTGAGTTCATGTGTGAGCGAGAAATTAGTTGTTTGGAAGAGTCGTTGCAATTTTCACAATTTTCTTCGAGCCTTGCACTCTTTGTAAGCAGGGTGGTAACACATTGTTGAGGTTACAACAGCTATGGCAAGAACACTTTAAACCCGTTTGCCAGATCAAACATGGGGCCCCATGTCTAATTTCTAACATCTAAACAAATTTGCAGCAGAAAAGATGTCCTGCCCATCGGGCAAGATTGTAGCTCTCTCGGGCAACAGCAACATACTTTCATCAAGCATTCGGGCAAACTGGAAAAACAATTTTCTGCACCCACCATCCAACCTCCATGGTTTAATCTGTTTTGAGAACCCAAACCCAAACGAGGCTTTACTCCTCTACTTTTCACCCATTAAAACTGGTAGCTGATAGGTCATTGACAACTAATGGTAGAAAAATGAGAATATCTTGCTGCTGTTGTTGATGGTTTTTCAGCTTTTGGGTTCGGGCTAAATACATCCATTGGATAAGAGAAAAGTGGAAAGAAGGGTAAAAATGGCTACTCACAAACTACCCAACTCTTTATATTTTATGTTTTGTGTGTACATCACATAACCCAAAAAGAAACAAAGAAATAGAGGAATAAAGCCCCCAGCAAGAAAGCAAAGAAAGCAAGAAATAAAACAAGAAAGCAAAATCTTTTTGTAGTTTTTTGGAATTTTTAATTTTTATATCTTTTTCTTCATGACAGCATAATAAATAATAAAAAAAAAACATAAAGCCCTTTCGGGCAAACAAAAAAAAAAAGAAAACGAAAGCCCTTGTCGGGCAAGTTGGAGAATGCCCTTTCGGGCAAACCAAAATCAAAGGAAGAGAAAGCCCAAGTTGGGCAACAGAAATCCCTTTTTGGCAAAGTCAAAGAGGCTACCATTTTTTTATATTTTCTTTGTTGTCTTTTCTTCTAACACAAAATAAAATATATTATAATACTATATATATATATATATATATATATATATATATATATATATATATAGAATACAGCCCTTTCGGGCAAAGCATTTTGACTATATAATATAATATAATATTAGATATAAATACAAAGATAATATTATATAGAAAAATACCATGAAGCCCGTTTGGGTAAAGTATAGCTTGAAAAAAGAAAAATAATAAATAATAAAGAAAAGGGGAGAGATAGAGACAGAGCCCTTTCGGGCAAACCACACCAAAAAGAAAGCCTTTGTCAGGCAATAGAAACATAAACTATACCACCCCCTTCGGGCAAAATATGAGAAAAAGGGTGCACATTTTGTTTTTATTTTTTTTTGTTTTTAGCTTTTCTTTTGTTTTGTTTTTTTTTTTTTTTTTGTTTTGTTCTTTTTATTTGAAATCAAAAAGCAAGTAAACAAAAGAAAGGTCTTTTCAGACAGGAAGGCAAAAAGAGAGAAAAGGAAAGAAGAAATAAAGGAGAAATGAGAGAAAGCAAAGAAAAGAAAGAATCAGAAAACCCACTTCGGGCAAAAGAGGAAACAACAACTCGGACTCATTGGTCAAGCCCCTTGACTGCCCAGATATCTCTTAACACTCAAATCTTTTTCTCTTTTTAAAATTGAGTATAGAAAGATCAGATCCACCTTTTAATTTGGTCATGCTATGTAGCTTGGGAACCATAGGAGGTGGCAATTCATGTTTGATCCCGAGCTTTGCCCCCCTGAGATCTCGATGCGGACAACATGCTCGTGTTGGCGGGGAAGAGTGTAGGAGCTATTTTCTTCTTCTTCGGGCTCCACATGAGGTGTGGGCTCGTGCCCCCCGAGCGTTGGTGTTTGGCCTATACTAGCCATCATCTCCATCTTAGCTTGGTCTCCTACAACCATATCCATTTTCATGGATTTTTCATTGGGTGGGGCCATTGTTTGACCTTCATCAACGTGTATGATTTGTTCTTCCTTGGTTGTAGTAGGGTGAGCGTGCTTTGTAGAAGGGATTTGACACATTTGATCTATCAACTTTTTCAACGTTTCTCCAAAAGTTGTATAGCTTTCCTCCACCCTTTTAAAACATTTAGTGACCTCTTCACCATACTCGATGTTTGCCACATGGAGTTTGGACATCTTCTCTAATTTGCCCACATCCTCTTTGTAGAGCTTTTCATCCGGATGATCATGAGTTGGCATCTTATATATTGGCTCTATGTACTCATTGGAAGCCTTTTGATACTCAAAGCCATTTGTTAGCCTATCATAGTATTCATGAATATGATTGTCTTCAAAAGAATAATAACCTTCATCATAGCCATAAGTTGGCCAATCTTCAAGATTATTATTTATTTGATGGCCATTAGTTGGCCGACAATCATGTTCCATGGGACTTGAGTATTCTTCCGCCATGTACCCATAAGTTGGCAACTCATAGGTTGGCTCTATGTGATAGCCATAGCTTGGGCGCTCTTCAACACCGCCATCCTCCGAAAAAGCAGAAAAATCATGAACATAAGGATTGTTCATGATCTATCTTCATATAAGGATCCCACCGGGCGTGCCAAAATATGTTCGCTCACTAAATCCGCCATGGTGCCTTGCGGAGCCAGGGATTTACTTCACATACGAGATTGGCGGGTGCGGGCGTGCCACTACTAGATGCCGCTAGTAGAAGGGATTTGAATGATTGAGGTTGCGCCTTTTGACTTCAAATCAAGAGATTGTGCCATTTGAGTGGGAGTTGCTCAAATTAAGGTTCTTTGTTTGCCTTAAAAATAAGGACTTTACTTATATGGAGAAATATAACAATATGTAAATGACAAGGTTGCTTGGAAATATAAATGACAGAGGAAAGTGACTAAAATTGCAGATTGCTTGTAATTTATATGGCTGGAAATGAGTACATAAAAGCTACAAATCAGATCGATACTACAAGTGAGTAGCAGAGCTAATAAACAAGAAAAGCAAAGGATGCTTGGCTAAAAATAAATGTCTACAAGGAAGCTGATGAGCTAATTTGAGTAGAGTTTTGATTGGTTGTTTTGAGTGTCTGATTGAGTGTATCTGCTCCTTTTTATAGAGGTCTGGAGGAAACCCTCCTGCTGAGGTTTTGTACTTGCCCGAACGAAGCTTGGGCAGCTTGCATTTCACTTGCCAACTTGCATGGAGAGTAATATTAAAAGGGGAACTTGCATTTCCACCACATGCTTTCATCACATGTTTTCCCACTTGTAATAAACTAACATTAAAATGAAGCAAGTTGGCTTCTTTCACATGTTCCTTGCCCGAAAGCTTGCTGATGCCTTTCCATCTACTTGCAATACATGCATGTTCCTTGATTAAACAAAGGCTAGACAAACCTCCACCACCCAAACAAATAGGAGAAACAATATTATAGTGTAAAACCTATCCTACTTGCATCTAAATATCTTTCCAAGTTAGCTTTCTTGCATATTAATCCTCCAAATGCCATATTTTACCCAAATTGCCCAAATAAGTAAAAATGGGTATATTTTGAGTGCAAACAGTAACCCTCGGTGGTGATGAGGCGTTTTCATCAATTAATAGGTGGTCTGTTTCAGCTGAAAGCTCAGATGAGAGTAGCGATGATTCAAAAGATGATGATGTGAGTTTTTGGTTTTCCAAACCTGGTGCCATAATTATTTTTTGCCATGGGGGTTATTGTATGGGACATTCACCTGAAGATTGAGTCACTCATATCTGTATATTTGGGATACATTGTGTTGTGTATTTATTCTCAACTTTTGTGTTCACAGGAAACCCCTGCAAAGGTTACTGCCCAAAAAGCTTGCTCAACTGCAAAGAAAGGCCCATCAGTCGCTGTTAAGAAGGCAGACACTAGTAGCTCTGGATCTGAAGAGAGCTCTGAATCTCAAGATGAGGTGTGTGCTCATGCTTAAATATTTGTATCATCTGAAGGAATTGCACTATTGGATGAACCATTTTAATTTGGGATTTTAGTAATTAGTTTTAATCCTAATCTTTCCGAGCATGTTTAAGAAGTTGTGAAAAAAAGTAGAAAGGATGTTATGTTTTAAGCTCCTTTGATAATTGTTCAGAGGAGAATTCTGGTTATAGTTCAGAGGAAGTGAAGGTTTATGTTTATTTATTTTTTAATTCCAATTGGAATGTGTTGCAATAATATCATAGTCTTTGTGAGATCAAATGAATTACACTTGCTATTAATACAAAATAGGATTCAGATCAAAATATCAATCCTATCAAAATAGAAATATATCAAAAAGAAATATATTGTGGTAACAGAATTATGATCTTATGGGAAATATATAAGTGCAATTGCGTACTTTTTAATATGGAGAAAAATTGAATTTGTATTTTAGAATTAACTAGAAAATATGCATGCGCGTTGCTGTGGGACTTGAATGCAGCAGCCTTAACTGCATGAATAAGACACATTTAACCCGAATAAATTAAACATAATTATGAATGAACAGAGGGATAGGAGTGAAAAGGATCGGTAAGATAAGCAGCTTGGTTTTTATATACATTCAAAATAGCTTATATGAAAAGACATTGTACAATTAATAGGAGAAAGTTGAGCGTTCTTGATTACAAAAGATGTGGTTGCAAAAAATCCTCTGTTTCCATACGAAACAGAAGCAACATGCAGTTCACACATATATTGCCTCTGAAGTTAAAATGGCAAAATATATGTCCTGCAGGCAGGCTGCCTGTTTTAGCAGTTAACAAAAAACATTAAAAGTGTTCCATTGTTGTTTCAGCAGCTAAGCTTTCAAGCACTAATGTTCAAATAAAAAAAATGCAGGACGCCTATTCCGTAAGAAACAGAAGCAAGATGCAGTCCACACATATTTTGCCCTTGCAGTTAAGGTGGCAAAATATATGGCCTGTAGGCCTGGCACCTGTTTCAGCAGTAAACAAAAAACAAAAAAACTGTTCCATTGTTGTTTCAGCAAGTTTTCAAGCACATAGTAACTCCAAGAAAACAGAATGTTGGAAGACATAAAAACAGGGCTAACTTCAAGCATACACTATCTCTAAAAAATTAATACCTCAAAGTTTGTTTTCCTAATCTACACCATAAATATTACTTAAAATTGAATCAGCCTTGACAACAAACTAAGGAAGCTTCTTGAAAAAAAAAATCTACGGTGCTGTAAAACACCCCAATAAGAAGATTACAATAAGATGCCAAGAATTCATGAGCAGCTAATTATAAGCTAAAGGAAAGACGGTCTAATGCCTGAGAACCAACAAATTCAAACTTTGCTTGCTATATATGGATATGCATGCTATAAGAAAGATTTATTCCCTCATGTAGTAGGCTGTTCTCTGTAATCTTAAGCTAACCCAAGTGGTCTAATTATAATGATGCAAAATATATATAAATCTGACTGTTTTTTAAACTGGGATTCGAAAGAATCAATACCTTGGCATATAACTGTCTTCAACAATTACTGCAAGATCATCTTTCTAGCTATGCAACAAATCCAAATTGAGCACCATCGCATAATCTTGGGCTTACATTGTGGAAAATAGAAGCACCGCCAGCGTTTAGAATGTTGAACTAAATAAGACAAAATTCAAGCAAAGTAACAAACTTTGAGTACAAATCAATCCAGCATGAATTTATACCACACATTCTGGCATAAAAGAAAAGAAAAATGACAACTAATATTTGAAATTAAATTCATCAAAAGCACACAAATTCAATGAGAAGAGAGAGAGAGTGAGATAGAGCTTATTCGGATAGTTCTTTGAAGTAAGGGACGCATGAGCGCATAACACTCTTAATCTGGGACTGGATATCGTGCGCCTCCTTTAGAGGGCTCTTGCTATCTTGTGCATCCTCCACCATAACCATGAACTCCCACCCCATGACTCACTTCCACAGAAACATACCGATCATAGTAATTTACTGATCAATTATACCAGTGCATTCATCAAATAAGCATTTCCAAAATACACAATTAGCAGATAAACATAACCTAAGGCACAAATTCACACGGATAGAGAAAATCAAGTTCCACAACCTACGAAAACAATGTTGCAACTGAGAGATCGTTTGAGGGATTTGAGACAGAGCTTCTTCCATAAACAACATACCTAGAACTCCCCAAGTTTTCAAATGGAAATTAGACATTTAAATAGCCTGTAGTCAGCCCAAGCCTTCATCCCTTTTGAGATAAACCCTCACTCAAGCCTTTGTAATAGCTCTGCTACCCTGTTTAACTCTTGTTGTAGTATCGATTTCTTTCTGTAAACTCATCTCCCTACCCCTCTTCTAAAGCTCTCAACCCCCTTGATAAACCACAAAGATAGGAAGTTGCAAGACGATCAGCCTTGCCCGACAAGGTTAAACCTTGCCCGACCCTCTTTGTTTCTGTCTTTGCATTCATTAACCTAGCAATATGTTGTATACTTCAAGTTGTATTCAAGTTATTTCTAGTAAGATGGCTATTAAAAAACTCTCTCAGTGCTTGAATCCGATTTGAATATGTCTTCACAGTTCAAACCAAATCTAAGTTCGAAGCCCGCGGGCATGTAAGATTTGATCACTTAAAAGTCCTTGGCCTTAAGGCATAAAAAAGAACCTTATGTGAACTTAACCCATCCATGACAAGCTTTGATAACCAGAAGTCCGAAGTTACTTGGGGCGCAAGTAATTGACCTATTCCTTAGTTTTATTTCTATTATATTATGATTACCATAGAACGTTTGAGTATGGAATGAATTCTGATAGGAAGCCTCAAGGCCTATATCTAAGGCCCTACAAAGGCACCTATTTTGATTCATTCTGCTCTTCGGGCTCAAGTAATCAGAAGTATAATGGTTATAAAATTCATACAATCAATGAAGCGGACATTATATGTTCAAGTACTGAGTTAGTTATTGACTGGAAGCTTCAAGTCCTACACCTAAGGCCCCACAAAGGCACCTGTCATAACTAACGTGGTCTCTTGGATATATATACAACTAAAACTCAACATCCGTTTTACATTTGCCATGCTGAAGATGGCAGTGGCACGCCTGAGCACTTAAAAGTTAATCTTGATTGTGAGCCTCAAGGCCTACACCTAAGGCCCCACGAAGGCACCTTTCAAAGTTAACTCTGTCCTTCTCTTTCAGCTTTGCTCGACAAGCTTTGCCCGATAAGCCCACCAGTGAAGCAGAAGCTCGACAGAAGGCATCAACCGGCGCCAACCTCTCGGGGAGCTGTGTGCTCGTCGGCCAGGGAACATCCCCGAAGGAAATTCCTGCCACGAACAGTAACCACCTATTTCTTGGTAGGAAAAATTAAAAATTCAATTTTAAAAAAGAAATGTACTTTTTAGTTCAATTTCCACAGCCATAGTAATTTATGCGGACTAAAATTAAGATTAATCAACACATCCAATCAATTGCAACTAAACAACTTACAATAATTTAATCTGTGTTTGGGGATATGAAAGAGAGAGAGAGAGAGAGAGAGAGAGAGAGAGAGAGAGAGATAGTTATCTATTATAAAGCCAACCTTCTTTGAATTCACTTCTTGGTCCTCTTGTGGCTTATTACCAAAACTCTCCACAGTTATCTATTATAAAGCCAACCTTCTTTGAATTCACTTCTTGGTCCTCTTGTGGCTTATTACCAAAACTCTCCACTGCATTTGCAGTAATGCCCTCTGATTCTCCTCCTGTGATAATTATCATTCCGTAAGTAAAAGGTACAAAAATATCAATTATTTAATGGTAGATATGTACTTTAGACTTTTGAAGATCCAATTCATCCTGCATCTTCTCACTCATCTTCATGCTGAAGCCACAAACCTGTCAGCTCAGCTTCATGTTTGCTCCTCATTGAAGTTATTTTCTATGAAAATGATAAACTGGTCTGTAACATAAGCATATAACACTCTATTTAAATTAGCAGCTCCAACTTAATTCAAAGCCATTTTTTTTAACCTTTCTCAGTTCGTTTTCAGCTTGCAGTTGGATATGCTTTAGCTCTTCACACTGTTCAGATTTTAGACTGAGTATCACGTTCCTAGTGCTCCAACCTATAAAAATACAAAAAATATTTTACGAAATACCAAAACAACCAATATAATTAAAAGCCTGCATACAGTTTGCTTAATTAACAAATAATGCAGGGCAATTTTCATTTCTAACCAACTGTACAACACAAAGATGTCTGCTTTAACTACCGCTCTATTGAACAGTAAAAAACCCAAAAATTCTGAACTAAATCAAAATCGAAAAATTGGATAAATTTAACATCACGCTATATGAGCTTCACAGATTTGCGAACTCATAGTCATTGGTGAGTCGACTCGGCCTTCGTGCCTGCGTGTAGACTCGTCATCCCTGTGAACTGCAAAGCGAGTCACCGAATCAATAGGAGCAAGTATATATGGGAAGAGGCATAAGTTGAAACATGTGCAACATAAATATATTAAATAAACACGAAGACAACCATTAATACACCTGCAAGCAAGAAACTACTCACGATGCCATTGGTGCAGATGGACCAACAACCAAAGCGTTTTGAGCTCCTCCCATCTGCGTTTCATTATAATCTTCATGACACACATGATATTACAACCAACAAAATAGCTTAAGCATGTTACAGTGGCAATATAGAATACCCAGATAGACTTAACTTCCACAAAACAATAAGCTATAACTTCCCTACTTCTAACTGCTTATTAGAAATTTCAATTACAACAAATAATACCTGTGAAGGCAAGGGCGGCAAGGGCATCAAAAGGTCATTCAGAACCACTTCCCGGTGCACCAGACTCAGCCTAGGGAGGTGGTTTTTGGTTAGTCGTGGGTTGCATTCCTACATATTCCATGCTTATCTAATAATTCAAATCAAAATTTTCATTCCAACACAACATTCTTCAAATCAATAACTTCACAAAGCTTATAATTCACTAAAAAACATTAGAAAAACAATAACAATTTCAACTCTATAATTTCAGTAACCTTGTGGCTCATGTGAAGTCTTTTACTGCAAAGAAAAAACAAAGAGTGAGCACAATTAACACACAAATTATCAAACAAAAAAAAAACTACATTCAACTCAATAATTTGAATTTCACAAAGCTTATAATTCACAAAACACAAAAGAAAAACACTAACAATTTCAACTCTATAATTTCACTAATCTTGTGGGTCATGCGAAGTCTTTTACTGCAAG